TTCTGAGGAGGCTCCCAATTCACAATTGCAGAAAACTTCTCCGGATTAACAGTAATGCCCTTGGCGAAGATGATGTGGCCAAGGTAAAAAACTTCATCAAGCCAAAACTCACATTTGGAAAACTTCACATAGAATTGATACTCTTTGAGCTTGTCGAGCACCAATCACAAATGTTTGGCATGATCCTTCTTATTCTTCAAGAACACCAAGATATCATCGAGATACACCAGGACGAATTCATTTGTATAGGTGTTGAAGATGAAGTTCATCATATGAGAGAATGTTGGAGGGGTATTGACAAGGTCGAAAGACATGACAGTATATTCATAAGAACCAAAGCTTGTTCTAAGTGCTGTCTTGGGGATATCTTCTTCAGGAATGCGAATCTGATGATAACCCATATGGAGGTCAAGCTTGGAGAACACCTTTGCACCTTTGAGTTGCGCGAATAGCTCATTGATGTTGGGAAGTGGGTACTTGTTCTTGATTGTCTTCTTGTTCAATGGACGGTAATCGATGCAAAGTCGGTCCGTGACATCCTTCTTCTGGACAAAAATAACACCACAACCCCACGGAGATGAACTCGGTCTGATCAAACCCAGACGCTCTTGTTCATCGAGCTGTTTCTTCAATTCTTTCAGCTCCTTTGGTCCAAGCTTGTATGGACTCTTGCAAACGGGTTCAGTACCGGGCTCAAGATCGATAACGAACTCGACTGGCTGGTGAGGAGGCATACCCGGAAGCTCTTCTAGAAAGACATCTTGGTACTCACAAAAAACTAGAATCTGAGAAATAGCGTCTAACTCGCCCTTCTAATTGAGGGAAAACAACCGAATGGTTTCGTCATGAGCAGCATAGATGATCACATCTCAAAAGAGTGTGTCAATTTAATTGAGGGAAAGACATCTTGGTACTCACAAACAACTGGAATATGAGAAATAACGTCTAACTCGCCCTTCTAATTGAGGGAAAACAACCGAATGGTTTCATCACGAGCAACGTAGATGATCACATCTCAGAAGAGTGTGTCAATTTAATTTCCCTGGCAGCACAATCAAGGAATGCCTTGTGCTTAGAAAGCCAATCCATGCCCAGAGTTAGATCAATATCCGAGTCGCCGAGAATAACTGGGGAAGGCAGGAATTTATAGTTGCCCATCTTGATACCGACATTCGGAACCAACATACTAGAGCTCCAACGCTTAGCCGGAGAAACAACTTGCAATGCTTTAGGTAATGCCTTTGTGTCAAAATTGTGCTTCGATGCAAATGGATATGACATGAAAGAATGCGATGCACCAGAATCAAATAAGACTTTTGCAGGAATATCATTAACTGGAAGATTACCCATTATCACTTCTGAAGAATCCTCTTCTTGAGCTGCATTCATCATGTTCACCCTTGCAGACTTGGGATTATGCTTGACCACTACATTGCTTGAAGACCTCACAGGAGGAGGAGGCAGAAGACGCCTTTGGTTGAAGCACTTGTTTGCATAGTGACCTTTCTGCTGACACTTGTTGCAAGTAACCTCTGAGAGCGGACGATGATAAGGAGGAGCACCTGTCCTCAGAGCTTGAGTCTGAGACATGTTCTGATAGCCTGGGTTGGGTGGGTGGGAAGATCCATGTCCACCTTTGTTCTTCTGCTGGTAGGGCTGACGAAACGGAGGAGGCGGAGGAAGCCAGAACTTCTGTTGCTTAGCTACCACTTGAGAGGAAGAAGACGATTGAACTACATCCCTGATTCTATTCTTTGAAGCCTCACACTTGAGCTGAGCACCTTCTTACTTGAGGGCCATGTTATAGAACTGATCGAACTGAGTAGGCTCAACAAGAACGAGCGCTAACTGCAGATCCTCTCTGAGGCCACCCCTGAAGTGATAGATCATGCTCTTTTCATCAGGAACATCCTGCCTTGCGAAGCGAGCAAGTTTCTGAAACTGGATGTTGTATTGGTACACGAACATGCTTCCTTGCTTGAGATTGCGGAATTCCTCTCGCTTGCTCTCGGCAACACTTGTAGGAATGTGATGAGCTTTAAAGTCCCGACAGAAGTCAGTCCAGGTAATCACTCGACCTCCTCTGGAATCTTTGTATTGCTGATACCAATCAGCCGCTTGGTCCTTGAGATGAAAAGAAGCGAACTTGACGAAGTCCTCAGGCCTGCCATTGCTACATTCAAAATGCTTGCTGATGTCCACGAGCCAATCATCGGCGTCCATGGCCTCAGCACAATTGCTGAAAGACTTTGGCTGATTTGCAAGAAACTGGCTGGGGTAGCAAACTGAGGCTGATTGTTGAATTGCCCTTGACCTTGATTCCCTTGGTTGCCTTGACCTTGGTTGCGCTCTTGCAAGAGTTGCAAAAGCATCTAAGTATTGGTGTTGGTGGATGCCATGACAGCTTGCCATGCCTCCGGAGGCGGAGGAGGTGGCGAAGGTGGAGGGTTCACCTGATCCCCATCATTGTGGTCCGGATTCAGACGCGTTGGAGGAGCCATCCTGAAGAGGGTGACATCCGTTAGAACCATGATAGACAGATAGACAAGATGAATCAACGGATAGAAATTTCAACATATAGTCTTCACAATAAACATTTGAATAGAGATTTAACGAATGAATTCCAAAGTTAACATTACATGACCATTAAGGTGAGAATCCACTTAGATAAAGGTTGATGAATGAAACAACAAGGTACAACTGGAGAAAATAAGTTGTAAGGATTACCCAATCACATACCAATTATCTGTCGGGAGAATAACTAAGAGCTACTAGAATTCCCACCTATAAACTCCTAAAACTTTCTGGTTATGCAATCTGGTGTTGGGGATACAGGGAGGCACAATATATATCACAAAACTAACAAGCCCTACGCTCCAACTGTATCCATCTATCAACACATAACCAAGAAAACTCCGGAAATCGTGTACCGCAACCTTCGAAAAGCATCCGTTATACGAGCTGTGGCAATACTCCCGAATTCCCTCCCCAGTACTGGGTGGCGTCGAGGTTATCTCACCACCAACCGCATAAAAGAGATTTTCGATGTCGGTGAACTCAGGTATTCATGAACTGCAACGATAAAATTGTGACGACAACACCTCGGAGCTCAACTCCCCGGGACACTGCCACAACCCCTAAATGTCAGGAGGCACCAAGAACAATGTTCTCGTCACAAGAATATCGGAACGATCCCAAGATACCCGCGTGATCCTAATTTTTTAGTGAAAATGAGGAGAGGAAAGTCAAAACATCTACGTCAGGAGGCCTCACCAGAGCGACGAAGGGGGATGAGGAGTAAAAAGAATCCTACTCTCTGATATAGATAATTCTAAGACTAAAAACATTTTTGTTCTAGACTCAACAACGTCAGCGATTCGATCAAGCAGGGGGCTCCTAAGTCGGGGATGGCTCTGATTACCAACTTGTAACGCCCAAGATGCGACTATATCTCCCACGTGTCGAGGCACGACTTAGAGGCATAACCGCATTTTGGTTTTGTCGCAAGAAGGGTCATCTTCACACAATCCCATGTAATGAACAAGGATAGATAAAAAGTTGGCTTACAATCGCCACGTCACACAATGATCAAATACATCATACATCATTTAGAGTACACACATGGTACGACTACGGACGGATCCAAATGAAAAGAAGACAACCCCAAATGCTAGTTCCCGATCGTCCCAACTGGGCACCACTACTGATCATCCGGAAAAGACACATAGTAACAACCTAGGTCCTCGTCGAACTCCCACTTGAGTTCGGTGGCATCACCTGCACTGTTATCATCGATACTTGCAACTTTTTTGGTAGTATCCGTGAGTCACGAGGACTCAGCAATCTCAAAACCCACGAGATTAAGACTATTTAAGCTTATGGGTAGGATGTGGTTATGAGGTGGAGTTGCAGCAAGCGCTAAGCAAATATGGTGGCTAACATATGAGTACAAGAGTAAGATGAGAAACTACGCAATGGTCGTAAACTAGAAGTGATCAATAAGTGATCTTGAACTACTTACGTTCAAACATCACCCAACCGTGTTCACTTCCCGGACTCCGTCGAAAAGAGACCATCACGGTTACACACGCGGTTGATGCATTTTAATTAAGTCAAGTGTCAAGTTCTCTATAACAGGATATTAAAAAATTCCCATCTGCCACATAACCGCGGGCACAACTCTTGAAAGTTTATACCCTGTAGGGGTGTCCCAACTTAGCCCATCACAAGCTCTCATGATCAACGAAGGATATTCCTTCTCCCGGAATAACTCAATCAGTTTCGGAATCCCGGTTACAAGACATTTCGACAATGGTAAAACAAGACCAGCAAGACCGCCTGATGTGCCAACAAATCCCGATAGGAGTTGCACATATCTCGTTCTCAGGGCACATCAGATGGGACAAGCTACAAGTAAAACCAACCCTCGAGTTTCCCCGAGGTGGCCCCGCAGGCTGCTCGGTTCGGACCAACACTCAGAGGAGCACTGGCCCCGGGGGGGGGGGGAGGGGTCTTGAATTAAGATTATCCTCGGGTTAATTACTCCCTAGGAAAATTTTAGTTGTTATTAGGCAAATGTTAAAACCAAGGTTGGGCCTTGCTGGAGGAGTTTTATTCAAAGCGAACTGTCAAGGGGGTCCCATAACCCCAACCGCGTAAGGAACGCAAAATCATGGAACATAACACCGGTATGACGGAAACTAGGGCGGCAAGAGTGGAACCAAACACCGAGCAAAAGGCCAAGCCTTCCACCCTTTGCCAAGTATATAGATGCATTAATTAAAATAAGAGATAATGTGATATCCCAACATATCCATGTTCCAACATGGAACATCCTGCTCTGCACCTGCAACTAGCAACGCTATAAGAGGGGCTGAGCAAAAGCGGTAACATAGCCAAACAACGGTTTGCTAGGAAGGTGGGTTAGAGGCTTGACATGGCAATATGGGAGGCATGATAAACAAGTGGTAGGTAGTGTGACATAGCGATAGAACGAACAACTAGCAAGCAAAGATAGAAGTGATATCAGGGGTAATGATCATCTTGGCTGCAAAGTTCTCAGGGTTGTCGAAAGCTTGCTCCTCGTAAACATACTCAACAGGATACTCATTCACGAACTCGTCTCCCGGCTCTACCCAAAGCAAGAACACAAGCAATGGAACAAAAATCAATCATGGATTCACGATGCAATGCACGAGCAACATGATGCAAGACATGGCATGGAATGCAAGGTACAACGTGCACTGCATATGGTACTCCAGAAGGAAAAAAGATGATCATTGCATCAACTTGGCAAACCAAGCATGCCACTAGAAAGATGGAGTGATTTCGGTCGAAATCGATATAAATATAAATATCAACAAAAACAGATGCACGGTTTGCAAATGACATGCAAAACAAGAACGATGCAAAACTGCGCTTAACAACATCATAGCACTTAAGATGCATCATGAAACTATGCTACGACACTCCAACATAGCAACAAAGCACATGGCAGTAAAGTACAAGTGAAGCTCTACAAATCATGAGCACTGAGCTCCTGCTAGAACTCACTAGAACAAGCCTAAAACAGCATGGCAAAAATGCAAATGATAACAGTTTCACAGACTTTAGTGAAAATACTAAACATGGCATAAACAACATAGGGTAGCAATGTTTAGAGCTACCAAACAACATGCTACAACATCATAACATGGCAAACAAGAGCATGGCACGCTAGTACTAAAGGCAATGAACAAAAGTCCCTTACTAAACTTTAGCCAAAGATGCACAGAAAAGATGGTGCTTGAATGCAAACATGGCAAGTGATATGAACAGTTTCAGACTTGGTACAAAACATAGCATGGCAGAAACAGATTCATGATGACAACTTTGCAAGCTCATGCCACTCATCACAGAGCATTTCATGGCATCACAAGGTAACCAACAGTAAGAAGACACATTTATGAAGCTCAACATGGCAAGCACAAGTTCATAGGGTGCATGAATCACTAGCAAAACAGATGGCAAAAATGCACTTCATGTTAACAATCTGCCAGCAACAACATTTAGCATAAATAGAGCATGGTAATGACAAGCTACACTACTACATAATTATAACCAGAGGCATGAATGGATATAGCATAACCATATCTTCAAAACACTCTTACTGAACTTCCTCAAAATATGCATGGATCTACTTGTGGCAACAAGTCAACATAGCAACATATTGTAACAGGAAAGGACTTGGCAGAAAAACTAAGTGTCTGGAATCAACAACATCATGTGGCCTACTTTGCATGCTTGTGCTAGTCACCGCACAGCTCATAAAAATACAAGGCTTCCACCACTATAATGATGGCATGAAGGTGCTCTAAAACATGTATACATGATGCTCAAAGGATGCACGCACAAAATGCTATGAAAATGACAAATTAGCAAGTTATGATGAATTCCAGTAGACAACATCATATAGCACTTTTGCAATAAAGATTAGGGCATCAATATGGACAGTAACATGCATGAAAATGACACTAGCATGTAGAGCATCACGAGATGAACATTTCGATATATCATATGCGCAAATTGGAGAAACGGCCACGAAGATATGGCATGGCAAAGATGGGCACACGAGATAGAAATCTGGAGACTTAGTGAGAAAACCACCTCGCAGATCTAGGGTTCCCAGCGCAGAAATCGAGGTTCACCGGAGTTCGCCGGAGATGGGGGAGGCGGCGGCCGGAGTTGGCGGGGAGGACGCCGGCGGGTCGGGGACGCCGGATCCGGACGGCGCCGACCCGGATCTGGCCGAAGTCGGCGGCGAGGTGCGG